AAAAAAAAAAGCTAGGTACTCATGCTTGATTTTTCCATCAAAATTACTACCATTCTTCATATTCATTCTTGTCAATTTTGACGGTATCAAACAGAAAGAAATGTAGATAACTGATTCTAAAACCACGATAGCATCCCTGCACTGATAAAGTAGGACTATTTTTAAAAGTTTAAAAAACAAACAGTAGACAATTATGTAAAAAAAAAAAAAGAGCATTTCTAAAAAATAAATACATTCCAAAAAAAAATAATTCCTAAAAAATAAACTACATGCATCCTGAAATCCTAATGTTGTTAAGTGATGTTCAGTCGTTCTGACTCATAGTGATACTGCATAGGATTTCCAAGCAGCAGCTGGTGAGTTTGAACTCCAGACCTTGCAGTTAGCAGACCACTTAGCAGCAGATACAGTGCCACACCAGGAAGCCATTAATGCTAGCTAAGGGACTAAATGTTTGTTAACAACTTATTTTTATATTTCTCTAATGACAATGTCTATAAAACTAAATTGTAAACTTATTCCTGATTTGGGAGATTATGACAAACTAGGAAATTTAGAGGATACTCCACAAGTAGTCAATGCATTACCAAGATGGAGGTCTAACTATCTTTTTGACCACAGGTAGAAAGTACTTTGCTACTTTAAAATATGTTGTGCTATTTTTATTAAGTACCATCAAGTTGGTTCCGACCCACAGTAACCCTTAATAGGGTTTCCACGCCGCAGGTGAGCTTGAACCACCAAATTTGCAGCTCAAACTGACTCTGCAGTCCAACGCATTCAGTACCACAACAGGAATCCTTAAAATATTCAGCAAGCTATAAATGTAGAATGTGTTAGTGCCTTTATAATAAAGATCCAAATGGAAAATAAAAAAGTACATTAAATAATTTTTATTTATTGAAAATCTTTAAAACATATGCCATAATAAATCACATATGTTAACACATGCAAATGTTCTTGTTCAATGACTGACTGGACCCTAAGTCTAGTCTCCTCACACAGGTCCTCAGTTATAGTTGAAGTCTTTTGGAACAAAAACTTTTGTTTCCAAGGCCATCTCTCAGACAACTGTGACATAAGCTGATCCTAGCTGTGTGCCTTTTCCTGAAATCTTTCTTCCACATTAGAGAACCATTCCTGATGTCTTACATCTGGAGAGGGAAAGAGACCCAGTGAATAAAAACTATCATGCATACATAAATGTAAACAATTTTAACACCTCAGCCTACCCTTCACTTTTAATCACAAGACTAAGTCAAATCCACTTAGAATCAAATCCAAACTCCTTATATTGCTTGTTGTTAATGTGCTGTGGAGGTGACTCTGAAGAGGTCAGAGCGACCCTATATGGCAGGCGTGGAGAACGTACGGCCTGCAGGCCATATGTTGTTGTCATTAAGTGTTGTTGAGTAGATTCCAACTCATAGTGACCCTATATAGGGTTTCTGAGGAATGGCTGGTGAATCTGAACCGCCACCTTGTAATTCAAACTGACCTTGCGGTCCAGTGCATTATCCCACAGCACCACACAAGTATAAAACCCACAAATATCATTTGGTGTGGCACTGCCAAAGCAAACACAGTTCCAGCCATCACACTGTGGTTGTTGTTAAGTGCCATCAAGTCGGTTCTGACTCATAGTGACCCTATATAGTTTCAACCCACCTTGTGGTCTAGCACTTTATCCCACATTTTTGTTGTTAAGTGTTGTCAAGTCAATTCTGACCCATAGTGACCTTGTATAGAGTTTCCAAGGGACAGCTGGTGAGCTTGAACCTCCAACCTTGCAGTTTAAACAGCTTTGCAATCAATCTTGTCCCTGTTCCTGAGCCTTTGTACTTTCTTTTCCCTCTGGCTGGAATGTTCGGTCCCCTCACTTTTGCATGGCTAATCTCAGTTTAAATGACACTTCTCAGGGAAACTTTCTTTGCTTGTCACATCACTGTTACCACTGTCTGAAATGATCTAATCCATAAATTTGTGACTGTCTTACCCCCCACGCACCCACCCAAGAATACAAGCTCCTCAAGGGAAAGGACCTTGTGCAGTTTTGTTTGCCACTGTGGTGGTAGTGATGGTAGTTATGTATGTGCCATGGAGTCGGTTCTGACTCATCGCAACCCTGTGCAGGGTTTCTGAGGCTGTAAGTCTTTATGAGAGCAGAAAGCCTCATCTTTCTGCCACAGAATGGCTGACAGTTTCGTCACTGTAGCCCCACAGATGTTGGTTAAGGAATAAATCCATTCTAAAGCTACAGCATTGCTTGCACACCCACCCAATTCTGTGTAGAAAATGGTTTCCTTCTGCTTAACCTCCAATTAATTAGCAGAAATCAAATCAACTATAAGGGGCTCTGGTAGTGTAGTGGTTATGAATCGGGCTGCGAACCGCAAGGTCTACAGTTTGAAACTACCAGCTGCTCCGCGGGAGAAAGATGAGGCTTTCTGCTCCCGTTAAGATTTACAGCCTCGGAAACCCTGTACAGGGTTGCTATGAGTCGGAACCGACTCCACGCCACATAACAACAACAACAACATCAGGGGTGAAAGAACTCCCTTGTATTTTGGAAAATGAAAGACAAAGGATTCTAAGAAAGGATAAAAAATGAAGACCCATAAGGAAAGGCCAAAGATCTGACCATGGAGGTCAAAGGTAATGAGTAAAAGCACTGCAGGACCTCCAAGAAAAATAATACTTTATATTCTGCATCGTTAATGTGGCAAACACGGCAAACACTGACCACCAGGGATACAACTGTAAGCAAGAGTCAAGGTCCTCCTGCCTTAAAGCTTACGACTTAGCCGCTGAAAAAGACAATAAACATACCAACCATGAGTACACTCCTTGGAAACCCTGTACAGGGTCGCTATGGGTCGGAATCGACTCGACGGCACTTAACAACAACAAATGGACCGCAAGGCCAGTATCAACGGCAAGGTTGGTGGTTCAAACCCACCAGCAGCACCTAAAAAACCCTCTCTCTGCAAGGTGTCGCTAAGGGTCCGAATCGACTCAAAGGCACTTAACAACATAAAGCAAATAACACTAAGACGATGTGATGCGGAGAGTGGAGGAGAAAAGGTGAGGTGAATGTGGAGCGGAAGGAGCCAGTCTTGCAAAGATCTGGAGTTGGTCATTTCCAAGCAAACCTTCAGCACAGCAAATGCTTTAAGAGAGGGACGAGCTGGTATGTAGAATGAGCAAGCTCAGGGCAGAGTAGCTACAGAGGTAAACGGTGGGAGAGGGGTCTGCGCAGGCAGGACTTTGCAAAACCACACTAACTTAAAGGAGCCTCACGGAGTTAGTTTCAGAGCCATTTTAGGAGACAGACTTTATTATTCCTCACGGAGACAAATTCTATTATTGCCCCAGTTTGCATATAAAAACATGAAGATGAACTCTGGCCTTAAGTTTCCCTCCCAGGCGGTCTGATCCCAACGCCCACGCTCCGAAACACTAGACATTTATGATGTCCCAGGTGCGCCGACCAGAATTTTATCCTCACAAACACAGTCAAGTGAGATCAAGATGCCCATTTACAGTAAGGAAAGGAAGGCACAGAGCACTGGACTCAGCAAAGTGAGTTCACGCTGCCTACTGATAGTAGGGGAGACGGAGGCAGAGAGAGTTAAGTTCCCCTTATGCTAAAAGAAAAAGGTGAGCCCGGAGGCCTCACTAGAGTCAAGGATCAGAGGGCTGGGACCCGGCTACACGCCGAGTACTGTCGCCGGGCCAGGCCCAGCTACTGCACTCAAGGCTCACGTTGTAGGTGGCCGGCTCCGCCACAAGCTGCGGAGATCCGACGCACAGACGTAACCAATGAGAGACTGCCTTCCGGGCGTCAAGGCGGCGGAACAACCAATCAGCGTAGCGCTCTGGAGAGGATGGGGCGGACGTGCGGGACGGGTCACGTTAGGCCGCGCCGCAGCTCCCCTCGCCCCACGCAGGCTCTACCGTGTCTAGGCCTGGGACCCCAGACACCACAATAAGAGGCGAAGCCCATCTCAGAATGCAAAATCTGGCTCATGGGCGCCGCCTGAGGCATCGGCCCACACTCCGCTCTCGCCCAAAGGCGCGGCCCCGGCTTCCAAGAGCTCGGAAGTGCCAGGGGTACCTCAACACTTTCTCAATATGGCTCCAAGAAACGGCTCGGCTGAACCGTGCGCGCCTCGCGGCATACCTCATGGAGAGACGGGCACTGAGAAGGGAGTTGCAATCACGGACTGTAGCCAATACTAACCGCTTAGTCTGCCGCTCCGCCTCACATTCAAACCCCGGCAAAATGGCGCGGCAGCGATGCTGTAGCTGGTGCGCATGCGTAAGAAGACGATCGGCAGGGGGCGAGGCCAGACGTGCTTCGGCTCCACCCAGGCGCGAATAGCCAATGGGAACCCGGTTCTAGTTTTGCGTGACGTCACAAGAGACAATGCCCTTTAGCTTTGACCGCTCTCTAAACAGTGTCACAATCTCCATTTTTTCTGAGATAAATACAAATCCTGCGAGTGACTCTTGGGTCGTAGTCTGTTTTAATGTCAAGACGTGGCGTGTAGCATGTCTTTATTTACTGTTGAGTGAAACATGTAAAGTCATACATAATGTCTCAGGCAAAGTCGTCTGCCCCTCAAGGAGTTTATTATTTTGGAGGAACAAATAAAATCTAAGCAAATAAGACAGTTTCAAATATTGATAAATGCTATGGAGAAGAAAGTGGAATCCTGGTGTGGCGCGGTAGGATAAGCACTGGACCGCAAGGTTGGCTTAAACCGCAAGGCAGGCAGTTCAAACCCACCAGCTGCTCCGAGGAAATCCTATACAGGGTCACTATGAGTCAGAACCCACTTTGCGGCACTTTACAACAACATGACAGGAAAATGGAGCCCTGGTGCCACAACAGTTAAATGTTTGGCAGCTAATGAAAAGTCAGTGGTTCAAACCCACCAGTGGCTCCACTGGAGAGAGACCTGAAGATTTGCTTCTGTTAAGATTGAAAAATCACTGCCATCAAGTCGATTTTGACTCATAGTGATCCTACATAGAGTTTCTTTACCAGAGCATACAGCTTCATCTTTCTCCCATAGAGTTGCTGGTGGGTTTGACCCACTAACTTTGTGATTAGCAGCCACAGTGTCACAGCCAAGAAAACCTTATGGGGCAGTACTGTCACAGGGGGTCGATAGGAGTCAAAGTCAACTCACTGACACCTAACAATAAGTATGAGGGAAAAAAATTAAAAAACAGGAAACGAGATGACAGATGTTGTTGTTAAGTGCCGTTGAGTCGGTGCCGACCCATAGCGACCCTGTACAGGGTTTCCGAGGGTGTAAATCTTTACAGGAGTAGGAAGCCTCATCTTTCTCCCGCGGAGTGGCTGGTAGTTTCGAACCGCTGACCTTAAGGTTTGCAGCCCGATTCGTAACCACTACGCTACCAGAAAACGAGATGACAGATAGTGACCCGGAAAGTCAGTTGGATTGGTTAGGAAAGGCATCTGAAGGACAGACACTGACCTGACTTTCAAGTAGGAGATCATGGGGGAGAGCATTCCAGGAAGAGCAGATGGAATAACAAAGGCTCTGAGGCTGGAATGAGCTAGGTTGCAGCTTAGTGAAGTGGAGAGTGAAAGAAAGGTGATGAAATTAGAGGACATCAGGTAAGGCTCCTAAATCAGTGTCTGGTCTCTACCTCTATCTTCAGTGCACCCATAATAGCACGGCCACCAGTGGCTGAGTGGGGAGTGGACTGTGGGGCGGGGGCTAAGAGTTAGAAGTAGGGGGACCAGTAGGGAGGCTGTTGGGGGTACCTAGGGCAGAAATGAGAAGCTTGCACTGAGGTGAGTAGCAGTATATATGGAAAGAAGTGTGCTCTGAGTGGAGACAGCTAGCTGGACCTGGTAAGTGAGGAGGTGGAGGTGATGGTCAAAGTGAAATTTGTGATTTTGCTTTGCGGTTGAGTCCATAGTGTGAGAAAGTGAAATCACAAACTTGAGTTTGACCATCACCTCCCAATCCTTACTCACCAGGCCCCCAACTAGCTGTCTCTACTCAGAGCTCCTACTGAGATTGAACTATGTGGGGGTTTGTGTGTGTGTGTGTGTGAAATAAACATAAGAACACAAAATTATATAGTCACCCAGTTATAAACTTGCAAAAGTAATTTCTATATATAAAATGGAAAAAGTTGCTGTTTGAGTTGCAGGATGATGAATATGTGTTTTTGGAAAGTTACTCATCATCTCCAGACTCATTCTCTTTAACCCCCAAACCTTGCCAAGCTGTCTGACCTCATCTTACTCCTTCCCTCCCTTTCTCCATCTGCTCATCCACCACGCCTTCCTTCTACTCTTCCAAGCTCCAAGCTTGTTCCCACTTCAGAGCTTTCATACTTGGAGTTTCTTTCCAATGCCTAGAATGCTCTTCTTCCAAATCCTCAGTGACTGGCTCCTTCAATGTCACCTCCTCAAAGAGGCCTTCCCGAACCACCCTAAGGCCACCACATATAGCAAACAAAATACATCTAGTGAAATGTGATTTTCAGGTAAATTGTTGTTAAGTGCCATCAAGTCAGTTTGGACTCATAGCAACCCTGTATAGGGCTTCTGAGGGGCAGCTGGTGGGTTTGAACCATCAAGCTTGGTTAGCAGTCCAATGCTTATTCTACAGCGCCACACCAAGACTCCATTTTATTGTTGTTAAATGCCATCAAGTCGGTTCTGACCCATAGCGACCCTGTATAGGATTTCCGAGGAGCAGCTGGTGAGTTTGAACTGCCGACCTTGCAGTTCAAATGGCTTTGCAGTCTGGCGCATTAACCCACAGCACCACACCAGGACTGTTAGATATTGTCAAATCTTCACCGACTGTGAGCCTATGCACAGCAGAATCAAATTTTGCTTGAATCTATGCCATCCTTGGACTACTGGTGTGGTGCTGTGGATTAATGCACCGGAATGCAACGTCAGTAGTTCAAGCTCACCAGCCACTCCTCAGAAACCCTACACAGGGTCGCTATGGGTCGGAACCAGTTTGATGGCACTTAACAACACCGTGGCATCCCCACAATAGTAGGCATGTTTCAGCCCTTTATTGCAGCCAATCTGTCAATTCATCTCACTGAGGGTCTTTTTGCTGACCCTCTACTTTTCCGAGCATGATGTCCTCCCTTGTGACAAGTTCCAAATAGCTAAGATATTCTGTCTCACCATTCTTGCTTCTAAAGAACATTCTGGCTGGACTTCTTCCTAAAAAGCAGTCCATAGTACTTCTAGTATTCTACCCCAACACCATCATTCTTTTTTAGTATTCCTTTTTCATTGTACTCCGTCTTTTACATGCATATGACTTGATTGAAAATAGCAAATAGTGAGATAAACATAATCATTGTTTATCTGAAATTCACATTGAACTGGGCATCTTTTATCTTCATAAGATTTGTTACTCTCTGCAATGAATTGTCCCTTTCTTCTCTCTTCCATCAGCTGAAGGACTGTTATAGCAAGGACCTTGTCGATACTATTTACAGCCAAACCCCTGAACACTTAGCACATAGTAGCAGCTCAATAAACATTGAATGAAATGCCATTTATAAACAGAAGTTCATTAAGCAAAATGGACCACTGTAAAGTGTGGGCAATTTCAGTTAGGATCATCTAGGAGGGCCTTTTTGAGGAGGCAACATTGGAGCTGGGAGCTGAACGTAATGAAGGAGCTAGTCACTGACGGTGTGGAAGAATATTCCAGGCAGAGGAGACAGCAATTAAAAGCTCTGATGTGGAAACAAGCTTGGAACTTGAAAGAAAACAAAGGTGGGTAACTGAGCTGAGGGAGAGAGGGAAACAGAATTATTAGGGCATTGGTGAAAAAGACATGTGTCTACCATTGTATCATAAACATTCCTGGAAAATCGTTTTCCTCCAGTCCTTATGAGAATGATCATTAGCCGTTTTTCATCTCAGAGAGCCAGTCATGAAGGTATCCTGTGTCTGTCTGGCAACTTTCCTAGTTTCTTCAGCAAGCTCTCAAGCTGTGCCTAGAGGACCACACAGACTTGCATGTGCTTACTTACAGCTCATTAAGCAAGTTGGACAGTGGTAAAGGTTGAGCAATTTTTTTCCCTTCTGACTTCTTCATTATGTTCAGCTCCTAGCTCCAATGTCACCTCCTCAAAGAGGCCTTCCTGGACCACCCTACCTGAAATTGCCCTCCCTTTACCACTGTCCATCTCGCTTAATGAACTTCTATTTATAAATGGTATTTCATTCAATATTTATCAAGCTGCGACTGTGTGCTCAGGAATATGACTGTAAATGAGATCAACAAGGTCCTTGCTAATGACCTGTAAGTAAGCACATACAAGCCTGTGCTTACCTTGCTTAATATTCACTAGAGGGTAGCAAGTAAGCACAGGCAAACCCATGCTTACTTTGCTTTTTGGGTACTCCATCCCTGTCAGGAATGGTAAATTTGAAAAGAGACTTTGATTTCTGTAGAAAGATGTTATGGGGTTGGAAGCGAGACAGATGCTAGTGGACCTGGAAGCAGAATCATGGATGTGGTGAAAAAAGGTGAAATTATTTTCACCTTTTTTACTTATTCACTGCTGATTAAGTAAGCACAAGTAAGGTCGTACTTCCCTTATGTATTGGGTAATGCGACATTGGGGATGGGTGATACCTGTTTTCTTGGGCATCACCCTGACCGTCTCCCTCCACATATTCTCAAGGTTTACAACAACTGTTCACACTGCTGAAAACCAAAGTAAACAATTCTGTCACTTTGGGGAACAGAGAACTGAGGACTCATTCATGAAATTTTCTTTCCTAGAAGGAAAGATAAAACAATCTGTTTTAAAGTAAGGACAGGCTTTTTGAAGAAACAAGTTAACCTAAGGTGTGCTCTGAAAACCACGGTTTTCTGTTCATTTGGATTCAGAAGGGTGTGGACACAGACAGACATCTGATTTGAGAAACACAAGTCTTCTTTTGACCCAGTGTGGTACAGTGATTTATCTAATGTCTTTTCTAGCCATAGTGTGATATTGTTGTTAAGTGCCATCCAGTCATTTCCAACTCCTAGCAACCCTGGCTGCGAACCGCAAGGGCAGTAGTTCGAAACTACCAGCTGTTCCGCGGGAGGAAGATGAGGCTTTCTGCTCCCGTAGAGATTTACAGCCTTGGAAACCCTGTTCAGGGTTGCTATGGGTCGGAACCGACTCGACAGCACTTAACAACAACAACAACAGCAACCCTGTATAGGCTTCCAAAGAGCGACTGATGAACCTTGGGATCTAGTGCTGTATCTTACAGC